ACAAGGACTTTTAAAAAATAAAATATGGATTTACAAAATTAAAAAGAAATCTTACAATTTAATAAAATCTTACAATCTTACAGTTTCATGGGTAGTTTGTCATCGATTTCCATCGAAGTCGAAAGCTCGATAGTCGGTTTGATCAATAATTACTTTTATTTTAATAAATATTTGAAGATTGAACTAGGTATACTCGGTGTAGCACTGACCAATTATTGGTCTCTGTTAGATCAACACAATGGGGTTTACAAAAAATAACTATTTTATTTGGTAGATTTTCATTTAATGGCGAGAAACCTAGAAGTCTTCATGAAATGAAGGTGGGCCGAACTGTATTCCGTAAATTTCGGCAGCAGCATATTCTGTAGATAAAAATAAATAAAAAAGTTTGTATAAATGTATGTCTTAAAATGCTTAGTTTCGGAGATACAGGGTTTAGAAGTTTTATTTTATTTCGATTTTTTTCAAATAATTTCTGAAGTAAAGTCAATATTTGGATGAAAATTGGTGTCTGGGAGTTTTTTGACATGAGAAATTTGATTTTGATATCTATATTATTTGTAGGAGGCGCCATCTACATAACTTTTTTATTTTCTTTTAATTAATCATAAATTTTTCTTCGAAAAAATGATGATAAAACAATTTCTGTTGTACTTTTGGCACAAAAAACATTTCAAATTTATGATTTCAGTCTAAAGGGGCGTCCAGACCAGATGAGCGAGCAGTAACGAGCCCGAGCAAACATTTATTCAAATTCGCTCGTGATTTCTGCTGCTCTCGAGCACATGATCAGCATCCGTCCAGACCTAGCGATTATTTGTATGTTCAGCGTTGATCGGTGTATGGCACTTCATGTTCATAATGTCGGAAAAAATTATTGCTTGTGCCTCTTTCATTGTATTTTATAAATTGTTGAAACGTCAAAAGAGAAAACGACTGCAGAGGAGATGGTGGAACATAACTCTTTTTAAAAATCGAGTTTCTCATGATGGTAACAATTTACTAAACGATGTTGAAACAGAAGATTCTGGAAAATTTAAGAACTTTTGTCGGATGTCACTTACAGATTTTAATACCTTATTAGATTTAATTGACATAAAAATAATGAAAAGTGATACCAATTACTGAAAAACAATTTCACCTAGAGAAAGGCTAGCTATAACCTTACGGGTCTTGGCGATTTTTGTACTCCTCTATTAGTTCTAAAACAACTTCATTCGGCCATTTCATTTTTGATATTCGATCGCAAACGTGGAAAACAAAATCCCGTCCAAACCGAACGTGCAATAGCGCAAATTTTCTTTGATGTACCGACACGGCGTGGAACAGCGTCGAGCGCGAGCAAGCAATCATTCGCTCGCTCGCAGAGCCGTCCACACCAGTTAAGCGTTCCCATAGACCATACCCGAATTCTTGCTCGCTCCTGCTCGCTCATCCGGTCTGGACACCCCTTAATAATTATTTATTCAACCTGTTCAATTTATGTCAATAATGGCAGGTATTGATAATTTTGATTCCAAATATCTCGAGAACCATTACTCGCAGCGATTTTCGAAAAAAAAATTCAGCAAAAAAATCGAAATAATAATTAAACTTCTACGCCCTGTATCTCCGAAACTAAGCATTTTAGAACATATATTTATACGAACTTTTTTACTTAGTTTTATCAGCAGTACTATCCTGTATAATTTCCCTGGCATGATCGATGGGTCAAATAAGCTGGGCATTTGTATAGCGCTTTCACTCGAATTACGTAAGTTAGGATCATAGATAAATAAAACAAGTTTAGATTGGAAAGTGCCCATAAGGACAATGTACACACTATTTGGCGTTATTCCTGGAACGGTCGCGACCCGAAGCTTTTGAAAATTTCGGAGCGGTTCGGATTTTGCTGGAATTATATCGCCAAATATTCTTTATTCAAATTTATTATTATTTTCTTTTAATTTTATAAATAAAATACCGTGTGTTGCATACAAGAAACTTTATTTTATGTAAGGACATGTATGAAATATCTATAAAACATTGGAAACCGACGTTATGCCACGATCCACGATGGTTTTTGCAGTTCACAGCACACACAGCATTTTTAAGTTTTTAATGTTAGTTTGTCACAATTATCACGGGTTTGAGTAAATAAAACTTAAATCAAACTCAGAAGATAGCAATAATTACTTTGAAAATGGACGCTTTAAACATTTTTCGGAATTTTTTCAATGAGAGCGGTTTATATTTTAAAAGATTTAAAATTTTTTGAAGATTCTGACTTTAAAAAGAGATATGGACAAGAGAAAATTATTTCTGATTTTGTTTGCGGTTGTTTTTAGCAACCACTATAGCAGCGCCAGATCGCGTACAACGGTCGCGACCCAAAACAATTTCGCGACCCAAAATTTTGACGGGCATTCCAATCTAAATCCTTATCTTTCCTTTATCTATGGTTAGGATACTTACTTTAAAATATCTCAGTCATTAGAGTGGTAGTTAAACACTAAAACCGATATCTTTTCCAAGCCGTCTAATCCTACCGTTTTCAAATTAGTTCCTAAACTCTCAACTGCGAGCAATGTCAGATCGTTTTGCGGGTATTTCGCGTGACGGCGGAAAGATATTAGTTGAAAGAAACCACCGCGGAATTCTTAGAATTTCCCAGATCGAATTCTATCTAGTACATTTTAATATCGACAAAGCGGTCTGAACTTTCTGAAAAATGGCAGCCTACTTACGTTTTAAGCGACACGTGAGACTCGCACAAGTATATCCGATGAAATGTGAGAATTCAATTGAATGAAATTTTGTTTCTAAAAGAATTTCTGAGATGTAAGAATAAGATTAATATAAATAAAATTAGGTACTATACTCTGATTTTTTTTTCTCAAGTAAGATTTCGATGAACGACAAACGGACGATTTTTGAGAGTTGTCAAACTCTTGCCAAATTATAGCTTATAGTATTGTTTCAAATACTTTGGTCAAATAGAAATAATAAATATTTTGCATTTGTTGGACTGTGTTATTACGTGTGTTTCGTATTTTGTTTTAAAATTAAGTGGACAAAAACTCAAAGGGGAAATTAAGTGTTGACCCAGACCATAGTTTACAGTTAATATCTCAGAGACAGTTTGCCAGTGATTATGGCCAGACAGTTGTATTAGCCACAAATAAAGTTTGTATACTATCTTGTATATGATACCAAAAACTGGAGTATCTCTAAAACAGCAGCACACGATAGGTAAATAATACTCATATTGAATAATTATATTGTTACGGATTCCCCGTGGGTCCACTAATTTAAACTCAAGATAAAATACTGAACGAATTTATTTTTCTTACTTTGTACACAGAATTTATACTATTTATAATACAGTTTATGCAACTATTATTACTCTAACGGTTCTGGCACATTCGCCAAGTAATTCACAATTTAAAACGCGGTATTATCAAACTTCAAAACTGGTCCAAATGCCAAGCGCGGGCCTTTATATACGATAAGAAAAAGTCTCTTAACTCAAGAAAACTGGTTCTCTTGAAAAATTCGAAAATTTCTCTTGAATCTATTTTCATTCAACCAAATGCAAGTTACTATTTTTTAAGATCATAAGAAAAATACGCTAGGAAGTACTTCATTCAAGAAACATGGTAATTTTTCCAATAGCTAAATACTCTTTTGATGAAAAATACTAACAACACGCAAAGACGATGACGAAGGACGGTATATACAATCAGTCGGCAGTCCGATCAGTCGTACATCATAGTACGCACGGGTTTTGTTGCTTGGAATTTTCCACTTGGAATTTTGCATAATTTGCTTTTTAAACGCATTATACGATATGCGTTACAAACACGTACAAATTAGTGATCGTTATTAACATGCATTTGTCATTTTTTATGGACAAATTTTGGGATATATGGATTCTTTAAAGGAGTTTCTGAAAAAATGGAAATAAGAGCATTTATTTGCTATATTTGAAGGTAAGAGACATTTACCTAATGCACCTGTTTAGATAATGCATGATTTTTTATGCAAATAATTACAAAAATTTTAGAATTTCAAGTCGTCGCGTCGTATTAAAAAATTCAAAATGTGACCAAAGCTTATAATTTTAATAATTTATTTGCTTTACTTTGATTAATCGTGATGTAACATTTCTTTGTAATTTGTAGAGTGATGAACTACCCCAAAAATACCAAGGAGTGAAGAAGCAGAAATAACTACTATCGAGGAAAATAATATCACTTTACTTACTACAGACCAGGAAAACCTAAATTTATCAGAAAATAATATACCTCGTAATATGCCTGTATATATGATGTATAGACTTCTATTAGATCAAAATAAATTTTAGTTGAGTCAATAGTATTTGTTTAAGAAGTGTCTCTTTAAGTGTCTCTTTAATCAAGAAATGTCCCTTTTCAATCAAGAATTTTTGCATGAATCAAAGGGACTATTGTTCTTGTAGCAAGAACTTCTTTGCATATTAATTTTGGGTCAAGAGTGAAATACTTTGGACAGATAGATTCTTCTATTCTCTAAAGTAATTTTTTAAAGCTTATGAAAAGATAGTTAATGCTTTGGGCAAAGAAACGTCGTTCTTGGCCCTATTGAAAAGCGCCAATCTTTTGGGTCAAAGTCATATTCATTTCGACTGAGAGATCCTTTTATTCAGTGTATTATACGTATATTTTATGTTTATGTTCTGTTGATTACAGTTGAGGGATGGAACCTTTGGTGTTACACAGCGAAATAAAAACACTAAATCACCACAATACACCAAAACACTTTTACTTTTACACTGGACGCGCGTTTCGCTAACCATGTTAGCATCATCAGCAGATGATTATAAACTGAAACCGCGTTTATAATCAGTTTATAATCATCTGCTGATGATGCTAACATGGTTAGCGAAACGCGCGTCCAGTGGAAAAGTAAAAGTGTTTTCGTGTATTGTGGTGATTTAGTGTTTTTATTTTACTGTTGATTTAGAAAATGCAAAAACTTACCTCTAGAAATCAGTGTCGTGCCGTTGTACCAACTGACCCTGGGGATGGGTTTGCCACTTCCAGCTTCGCACACCAGGTCCACTTCAGAACCTTCTTCTTTTGGACCCAGCGTTGAACCACTCTCGATTGTCACACCGGTTACTCCATTACTGTCTCCAATAATTCTTACCACCTCAGGTTTAACTGTAAATTTAAAAATAAGTTTATTAGTTTATTATTTTTCTTTCAACAAATGTTATTATTTTAACATCTCTTCTGAGATGAACCGCCTATTTAAAAATAGACATATTTCTTTAAATTCAAAACATTCATTTTTAAGACAATCTGTATACATAAATAAAATTATTGATTTTTAAAATATGATTCGCAAAAGTAGGGAGAGGGAAATCAGGCGACGACTAGAGATAATAGTTGTAAGGGGATTAGCTTTTAGACTACCATTCAAGACGCATTGATTTATTTTGTTTCCTGAGTTTTGTGACAAAGAATTTTAGTAAAGGTAAAGTAAATATTTTCACATTATTTAACTAATGTTAACTAAAGCATATATTTTATTTTTCTGTTCTAATATTCTGTATTAAAGTTTTTCCTTATTTATTTCATCTGAGAATTATGTTAATTATCATCTTAAATTATTATGAATATAACATGTGCATGTATTTAATGGGATCTATTTATGCTGTAAATAATTTCAGTTTAAAAGTAATCTAAATACAATAATGTACTGTCCAGTCGTGTCGATGTTTGTGGTTCAGAGTGACAATAAGGGCCTTGTTGAATGTACTAATATTTTTCGACCGTGACTGGGCGAATATTTTAGCTCGCATAGGGCAACTATAAACAATAAATATAATATTAAGATATTTACACCAAACATCCAACTTTAGCTTCGAGATCCGAAACCAGGACCTTAGTACCTGCAGGCGGCGCGGCGACCTGCTAACTAACCAAACACTCTTCAGTTTTGAATGATATAAATGTGGCATGTTTTGAATGTATAAAACTACAAACCTTGGTATGAGGACAGCTTCTATATTATTATTATTTCCTTTTATTAAAGTTAAGGACAGCATTGTTAGAGTCTCTGGAATAGTGATCATGGTTTTCTCTGCCGTGCTCTTTTACATGTGAATTCCAGGCAGAGTACGGCACTCTTTTCATTTCATTTAATAAAATAAGTAGGGCTATTTACAAATTTAGCGTTTTATTTACATAACCTATTCTCCTCAAATTTCCCAAAATATTGCTTCTGTCGAGGCGCATCCGAGGTAATCACAATAAAAAAATATTTAACACAACGTAGGTTCCTTTCTTCCATTTAAATTTCTTGTTATACAGTTGGCCAAAATATTACCTCTTCAACTTTGTTGACGAATTTGGGTTGTTACACTACACTTCGTAAGACCACTTTAAAGTATATTAATGATAATAATTGTATTGTAATAAAAATATATAAAATAAGAAGTTGGTAAAGCCCATGTGTTAAAAAATATACACTTTCAGGATTAACCCCTAAAAAATGTATGTGTATATAACGGGTAGTGCAACGGCGTTGGAAACACAGGAATTGCCATGTACATTTTGAACTGTCCAGATATTGGCTCCCCTGTTAATTTTACAGCAAAGTGGTAAATAGGTTTGTTAAAGGTCTGCGTATAGTAAATATACATGCCAAATTTGAAAAATTTTGAACAAGCCGGTTTTAAGCAACTTAAAAGCTTTTCAGAAAAACTGCATTTATTTTTGAAGTTAAACTGAATGGGCAAACAAACCAGGCAAATGCCAACGTACCTTAAGTTGTCATCCTATAATCAGGAAGATGCATATATTTTATTTTTCGCCAGAAACTGTTCAATTTATTAGAATAAATATGTATAAATGCAAAAAAAACTTTTTTCTTGAAAGCAGTACCACAATTTTATAAAACGGGCCATTAAAATACTATGGATAACGCAAACGACGCCTCGCGAATTGAAACGATATTCTATTGGTCTGACGTCACCCGCCGTTCTCGTCGACGCGCGATGGCCAGCAGCGGCCAGACGTGTTCCGTTTATGTACGTATTTAGGTGGCGTACTAAGACATTTTTGTTGCTTTTAGCGTTGATTGAAGGAGCTTTTTTGTGCAGTTATTATTTGTATGTGTTGGGTGTTCTGAGAATTTTTTAAGTAATGGCAGATTCCGGGTTTGTAAACGCACAATCAGATAACTTGCCAAAAGTCAATGCTTTTATGTTGGCTGCTTTTATAAATACAAATTCCCAATTTATTGGTGCTGAATTATAAGGAAAAAAACAGAGAGGTATGTATTTATTCTTTGTAGTACTGAGGCATATTTAAGTATAAGTAGGTACCTATACTGTTACGAACTTTTATATAGTTATAAATTAATGTTATAAACTTATTTTTCAGATCAGGGAGGGAGACGTATGTAGATAATGCTGTAGGTTATGTAGAAGTGAAAAGAGACAAAAATATTTGTTTAGTACGTAGAAAAATAACCCCAGAGCATAGCGTGAAAAAGAAAGTTTTTTTATTTATTGACACCCCCTTACCTTTGTTATTTTTAAAGATTGTTTTTTTTACGAAATTATAGGAAATAATTTGTTTATCAGTAATGAAAATATTATACAAGGTGTCCCATAAGCAAACGCCAAAATTAAGTTACTTTTTTAAGTAAAACACCCTATATATTTTTGGATTCTTCGGAAATTTCTAGATATTCTAGATATATTTCATGTATAATATCCTATACCTATCTTCAAATGTTTACGAAATATTGACAGTTGAAAATCGAAAAATACCTATAATTTTCTGGACCACCTTTTTTGAAACACCCTGTATAACTAGAATTAATTTTAAAAGAGAGAAAACTTGCAGTTAAGGCTGTATGTGGGTGTCAAAATATAATTAATAACCCTGAACATTCGAATTTCATATACCTATGTAAGACAATATACATAAATATATGAACTTACATCAAAATGATCTTCACAACAATAAATCGTAAAAATAGAGGATAATTTAACGTTTTTCTTTTCATCTCTTCTCATGGCGTTGGACCATTTTTTTCTGTTTTCGCTCATCCATTACTATTTATAAATATCACTAATTACTAATTATGTATTAATTAACAGAAATAACTAAAATTTTGACTCAGATTCAACAGCGTTTAAAAGCAAACTGTGTAAAATAAACACGCGTCTGGCTCCACTCAACCAGAAGAACGGCGGGTGACGTCACAGCGGCAAGGCGCGGTAGAGAGCGTTTGCCCGGCCATTTAAATTAACAATATTTAATTATTTTATATTAGAGGCATTTCTTAACCGATATCAATGATTTTTTTTGTTCAATTTGTAATTATTATATGAACTATTTTTTAAAACCATTATTTAAAAACATTCATTTTCCTCATTATGCCACTGTTAAATTGTATTTTCTAAACATTATGCATTTCGGGGACTCCAACCTTAGTAGTGTAAACAACACAACAAATTATATTTGACAATGATAAAATTATGGGTTGACAATTTGGTATGCGTATTCAGCATATGTAGACCTTTAAAAAACTATTTACGACTTTACTGTAAAATCAACAGGGGAGCTAATAATAGAATAGTTCAAAATTTGCATCGGATTTCCTATGTTTCCAATGCCGAGGCGCCACCCCGGTATACTATTTTAATCCCCAATATACTCAGAGAGACATTTATGCAGGATATATACAGGATGAATTTGACATAGATACAGGATTGATATAGGATGAATTTGACTAGGAGTGAAAAAATTCAGGAAGTGACTGTTTTTTCTTAAATAGAGTTGTGTTTATCATCTTTTTTTTTTGTTTGGGTGCTTCCTTACATACTTAAGACAAAATAAACTTTCAATATCATACACTTTTTCTAAAAATGGTTACTGTGATTTATTTATTTACATCCTACATGACGACCAAATATTAAGTTAGCAATTACTACGTAACAACAATTTGCACACATACTAATGAACTTTTATGTTTTAGCGTAATTTGCGGTTCATAACGACAATTTGACTCGAAATATCAAGTGTGTGGTACAAAATTATTCGTAAAAAATGCTTTTTCCAAATATGCTAATGATCCCCCCCCCCTATTTGATAAAATTGAGGTATTATTAAAAATACGATTTGGGTATCTTTTAATAGGCCAGGACAAGACACGGAAAACATTAAACGATCAAATCTATATTTCCAAGGTTCCTTGATTAAAAATTAGTGTTCCTAACACAGTCATGACACTCAAGATTGAAATTAAAAATACGATTTTTTAAGCGAAAATTTCAAAAGTTGACATATGATGTCAGTCCATTCAAAGTGTCATTTTTTATCGACTAAAGTAAAAAAATACCGAGGGTGTCATTTAAAACTCAAAAGTTGTAGTCATTTCCGGCGAAACAGGAAAGAACGGAAAACAATAATTGAATACGTCAATTAATCCTAATTTAAGTTATTCTATCGTACAAAATCTCGTTTTTTATCTGAAAAAATAAAACAATTATAGGAGTAAGCCAATTTGTGATGAACTAATGTTTTGCTATAAAAAAATAGAAAAATATATATTGGCCATTACACTGAAAAAAATATTGTTCATAATATGAATGAACATTGATTATTAACTGTTGTTTCATTGGGACAATGACTTTTTTCATTAATATAATGATTTGTTAATCATAGATCGATGTCCGATTTATTAATACTATGAATCTAAGTTCATCAATACAGGGTTGTTCACCACATACGACACGGAGTATTGTAGCTAAACGATGAGATTTTTACAAATTGTAAGTTTTGGGTTCGATGAAGGACTATTAGAGGTACAATTTAAAAATAATTTTACAAGATACAGAGTGTCCCAAATAAGTAAAAAATATCAAAGTTTTTAAATGGAACACCCTGTATATTATTACAATTTTAGTTTCTACGATTAAAATAAAGGTAAATTTGATTAAGGTTTATTATACTTAAACCTTACCGTTTTTGAAATATTTTCAATTTTGTGAAATTGCAGTAAAAATTTTAAAGCTTCATTTCTCCAAGGGTATCAATGTTTTTAATACTAAATATTTAATGAAGTTTATTTATTGATCAGTTATTGTGTTGCAATAATAAAAATAATACTACCTTATACAGAGTGTCTAAAAATTTATTTT